CACAGGGTACACAACTTATGACAATCTTCTTCAAATTTATCTGAATCAAGGCATTGAATCTATCTTCCATTCATTAATCTATCCATCTATCCACCCACTCATCTATCTCTTTACTATTTTTATTAAACCATCCTGGCATTTCAGAAGACTCATTCTTCTTATTATTCAGTAATATTTCTTCAAGTTATAATATCCACACTATTGGTATTTATCAGGCAGCCAGTTGTTTAACTAGTTTCCAAAAGATACAAATAAATGTGCAGAGTTTAGCATGTTAGCATACTTTGTGATCAAATTCTCAAAGTGCAGCTAACATTAGCTTTGGTTTCACCAAATTATCTGCAGGGGGCAGCAGAGAATGCTCTTAAGGCAAATACCATTAGAGAAATGCAGTTTCTTTTTCTTTTTCTTTCTGTCTCTCTCTCTTCAAAAACAAACAATGAAGTTGTAAGAGTGCTCAACTAGAAGAAAAAGTGAGTGAATAGATGAACAGATTTAGGAAGGGTGAAGAGTGTGGAACATGCATCGGAGACAAGACAGTTAAAAAGAATACTTAGTAAAGTAATTAGCCACGTAACTAAGAAACAAACTTTGGAGTGAGATTTCTTGGGCTTGAATCTTGTCTCCACCACTTATTAGCTATATGATTGGACAATTTATTTAACCTCTCTAGCTTCAGTTTCTTCAGGTTTAAAAATTTTAAAATATATTTTTATTGATTTCAGAGAGGAAGGGAGAAAGAAAGATAGAAACATTAATGATGAGAGAGAATCGTTAATCGACTGCCTCCTGCACACCCTCCTCCTGGGGATTGAGCCCACAACCCAGGCTTGTGCCCTGACCGGGAGTCGAGCTGTGACCTGCTTCTTCAGAGGTCGATGCTCAACCAGTGAGGCACACTGGTCAGGTAGTTTCTTCAACTTTAAAATGGTGACAACAGTTATGCTTATTTCATAGATTTGTTGAGAGGATTAAATGAGGCCATATTTATAAAGTGCTTAGAATAGGGCCTGGGTGTTAAGCTAAGGGATTGATTATTTAATATCGATATGACCACTGAGGTCTAAAATTGATATTAGGTAAAATATAAACTGTGGTTAATAATTTCTTTTCTCCGGTTTTGCTTTTAATTTGTTATTGCCCACATTTTTATTTTTAAGCATCTATTTCTAATTTGTTCTTTTTATACAATCTGTGAATTCATACTGAAAAATATGATTAACCTTCATCTGATATATATTTTGTCTAACTTTCAAAGGAGAATTATGGAGGTGATTTGGCATCAACTGTATATTGAAAGTGGAAAATTTCAAGGTAAATATCAAAGATACAGTAGAATACAAAAATAGATATATACATTTTTGTGAGGCTTGTTTAGGTTACTCCTTAGTACAATTAGTGATTGTGTAGGAGATCCAGGATTTCAGATATGTCTTCGGAGCGTGGGTCTATGAAGATTGTAGAGAAGTGAATTGGAGAACAGGAAACTAGGACCTGGCCAGGAGAGTGGCCGTTTTATGCAGTCATTAAATTATATGCCTCTTGGGCAAATCATTAGTTTCATATCTCTAATCGTTGTGCTACGAGGGCAGGGAGGAAAGCAAACTAGAGTGGAGTGTTGTAAAGTGTGAGCTCCTTGAAATTCTTCACATTGTTAGGCATTGTTCTTTCACTTCTTTGAAAATGTTACATTAGTACTTGGGCAGCATAAGGACAGGGTAGATTGAGGGACTTGGGACAAGTGTGCAGTAGTGTGTGTGAATATGCATGTGTGTGCATGCTATGAGAGGCTAAGTCAGGCCACACATCTAAGAGAGTTCACAGAAAGTAAAAATGACAAGGCAAGTAAGTATTGCCCCATTTTTTTTGCAAAGGCATACACCCAGAAAATTTAGCTAAGGTATCAGAGGCAGGTGAGTATTTGGGTTCTAGGCAGTCAAGACTCAAATTCAGGAGTTGAAAGAGCAGGCAATGGAGAACAAGAAGTCAGGAATAAAAGGCTATTAGTGTCTGAGCAGTAAGGATTCAAGATCCATGTAAAGCTTCTACATAAAGGGGAGGTATACCAATGGCAAGATAGCAATGTCTTCTTCCTCTTCTTCTTCTTCTTCTTCTTCTTCTTCTTCTTCTTCTTCTTCTTCTTCTTCTTCTTCTTCTTCTTCTTCTTCTTTTTTTTTACAATTTTTAAATATTTTATTTTTATTTTATTGTTTACAGTATTACAAGTAGTAGTACATATGTCTCATTTTTTCCCCATTGACTTCTCCCCGGATTCCCCTACCCCCCGGCACATGCCCTCAGCCCCCACCTCCCATTGTCTTGTGTCCATTGGTTATGCTTATATGCATACATACAAGTCCTTCGGTTGATCTCTTCTGTGGAATATAAAGAACATTATAAACTGATGAACAAAAATAAATACAGAGGCAAAGAATCATCGAACAGACTGTCAAACTACAGCGGGAAGGCAGGGGAGCGTGGTGGGGGGGGAGGTTTAGAGATCAACCGAAGGACTTGTATGCATGCATATAAGCAATGTCTTCTAACTGGTTTAAGGTTGCGGCTAAGTCTGAATCTGACATTGGAGACAAAGATATACATCTGACTGAGAAAAATTTACTTCAAAAGCTTTAAACCAACTTGTGAGTAAGTCAAATGTGCAAATTTGGGGGCATTATGTTTTAAAGCAGCTCTAAATTACTAAAGCTGACCAAGCCCTTTTGTTTTGGCCACCACAACATTAACCAGCAATAACATTGTTTCTTTAGTCTTTTCTGTGCCCTCACTCATAATTGGTAGTATTAAAGAGGAGTTAGAAGATTGGTGGAGCAAAAATTTTCGATTTCTGGTTTGAGCTGCATCTTTCTTTTGATCTTGTCTTGCTCTTCTGCTCTTCATTTTGGGTTCCGGTGCCTAAGGGGCACATCTAAGGAGAACCTGGGCCCTTTAGAGTTTTCATAGATGTGCATTAACTAGAAAAGCACTTTTTTCTCTTATTATATTGACTCTCATGGTATATCTTTGGTGGATGGTTATGCTAACCAACACTTGGTCCCTTTATTGTTCTTCCAAACACCTGCTCTCCTTAAGAGGTAAAGGTGGGGGTTGAGAATTAGGGTGAAGGGGATAAAGGGTGGGGGGAGGAAGTCTCATCCTGCCAAATCTACTTCTAGAATTCTATAGTTTTTGACACCATTCATTTGATTGTTAAACTGCTGATGGTGGATTGTGGTCTGACCTGAGATAAGTGCATGGGAGAATGTCTATGAAAGTTGTTGCCTGAAATTTCAAACCAGAGGAGCTGAGTGGGAAAAACACAAAGCTAGCAAACGAGCAACGTGAGTTTTACTCCTAGCTGTGTCACCAAGTCATTCTGAGACATTAAGCAGGCTACATGGCCCTTTTGTTCTTTGGTTTTGGCTGACATTGCACAGGCATTAAAATAAATGGTCACCAATAAGTTCTGATGGCATAAGAAAACACTCATGTAAGTATAATATAAATGGAAAAAAAACAGGCTACTGATTTGATTAAGAAACTTGCCCAGTATCATCTGACTAATAATTGCCCAGCAGAGACTCAATGTTAGGTCTATCTGATATCAAAACTCATGGTTGTAACTACTATGAACTTTAACACCAGTGTGATGGAAACCAGAATGCTATATTTGAACTGACATTTCATCACTGATTTTCTGACAGATGGTACAATTTTAGACATCAGGAAGTTGTTTTTGCTATAGTCCACATTGTCACATAGCCCATATCTTCAAGTATTCCATGCCCTCAAGCACCTGGTCTCACTGTGTATTATTGGTTCACTGAAAGGAAAGCTGGAGAAGAGGAAGGGGGAGAATATATATAGTTTACTGTTTGGCAAGAGGAAAGATGAAACTGCTAACTTACAGGAAAAATATTGCATGTTGTTTAGTCTTTTTCCTGTTTGCAATGTTTTCTTCCCCTTCCTGGAGAGTTTTGCCTTGGAGTAGGAAATTCTTGGCACATAGAGAATTTCTTTCTTCCAAACAATCCAAATGCACATGAACTAGCACTTTAAGGCAGAGGTTTTTTGTTGTTGGTTTTGTTTTTTTGTAATTCTCAATTACAGCTCTGTGACAACTAAAGATGAGTGCTTATTTGTAATTTGGTTCAAATGACCAGTCTAGTTCTTCAAAAGTGAAAATGAATGGAAATAAGTATGAAATTGTAATAGAGTAATGTCCCCCCCCCCAATCTGTGACCTAAATTCTGAAACTTGTAAGTAGGTTAATTTATATGTGAAAAGGGAAGTTGCAGATATGCTTAAATTAAGGATTATGAGATGGTGAGATTATCCTGGATTATCTGGGTGGTCCAATATAATCACAAAGGTTTTTATAAGAGGGGAGTAGGAGGGTTACAGTAAGAGAATGTGACATTGGAACAGGGGTTGGGAATAATGCAGCTACAAGCCAAGAAATGCTGGTGGCCTCTAGAAGCTGAGAAAGTCAATGAGTAGATTCTCTCACCGTGTCCAGAAAGAACATGGCCCTGCCGGCACTTTGATTTTAGCCCCATAAGGTCCATTGTGAACTAGATTCATTTCTGTTATTTTAAGTCACTCAGTTTGTGGTAAATTGTTACAGTAGTGATAGGAAAGTAATATACTTACGGTGCATCTAGAGTTGGAAATATTGTAGACAGCAATTTTATGCAAAAATTTTCAAGGGAAATATTTTATTACAAACTTTATTACTGAGGCTGTCCACCCCTTCAATTTGGAGAGAGCTTCTGAAAGTTATCATGATTGGGAAGGTTAATAGGATGGGCCCAAAATAGATAAATACTCTGTTTTGCTTTTTAATCCATGTTTAGACAAGTCCGTTTATCTTGGGCACGGTCAATGCCTTACTGTAAAGTTTATCTCTGTACAGCAGAAGTGAGAGGAGAACCAATGAGCTGAAAGATAACTCAATCAATCTGCTTCCTCCGTCTTTGCTTCAGTGCTTCATACAGGAAATCTATTGCTGTGTCAAGTTCCAGAGAAGAGTTTCTTCTGCTCCAAGTTACTAATCAGTCAAAAACACAGAGCTGAAGGAAGGGGCCAGGAGGAAAGGAGTGTCCGGCTGCTGATGGACTAAGAGGATTCAGCACGGAGAAGTCAGCCAGAGAGAGCCTCACCATGCCCACAGCTCCTTTTTCACCTATGTGGAGGAGAAGGGCTGAGTGAAGGGCGGAAAAGAAGAGAACAGAAATGCCCTGCTCTTGGAGAACTTCTGACCTGCAGTTACTCCTGATGTTGACTGTCTTCTTAGTGGCTGGTAAGTTTGAATTGTCTTTGGAAGAGTGACAAGAGAATGACTGGTGAGAAACCTGGTCTCAGATTTTCCGCAGCTCTCTTTGCCTTTCTTATGGTGCAGTGCAAGATAAATACACTCACAGATATGGGGCATGGGGTTGCTCCCAGATTTATTTCACTTTATTATCCTTATTTTCTTTGTTGTTGTACTTATTTTACTTTGTATCCTACTACAGTGTACTCTTTTCTATGATTTACCTCATTGCCCATTTTCTTATTTTCTCCTCCCCCCTTTTTTTGAATGAATACATTAAATACTTTCTAGTAGCAATCCAAGTCATCTGGGTCCTCTTTATCTTCTTCTCTTTTTTTAAAAAAAATTAAAATAATAATTTCAACCCATTTAAGCCCATATTATTAATGTAAATTAGGAAATTTTATTGCTTTCTAGCACTTTCTATGACCAGGTGCTTTTTAAAATATAATATACTCAGAGTTTGGTGGTGCATCTGCAATGTATGTCTGTGTTTAGCATTAAGATGTGCAGGCTGTAAAAGACACTTTCTGTGCCAGAGGACATACTCTTCAATGTCTAGGTTGCTGTAGGTGTTGTAGAGGACTTGGGACTATTGTGGGGGTGTCCTGGTTTCACTATAGAGGGTTGGTAGGAGTTGATGTGGGAGGGAGCTTTTAGGTTTCGCTTTTAGTAAAGGGAGCAGTGGCAAGGAAACAGTGTAGTTAATTTTAAATTTTGTAATTTGATAATTGAAAGAAGAAAAAGGTATTTTTTTCTCATATGAGTGACTTCAAAGTATTGCCTATCTTCCAGCAAAAAACTCTCTTTTCCACATGATAATCTTACTGGTGAACACACACAAAAGAACCATACTGTACTACTGTACCTTCCTGTGCAGAATTTTCACATACTTTTTCTCCTTTGATCTGCAAAGGAACTCAGCGAAACAGGTATGAAAAGCATTTCTCCATTTTACAAAGATAGAAACCGAAGCTTAGAGAGGTGAAATGATTTGTCCAACACTAATAGTATGTGGCAGAGTCACACCATATACTATTAGTGGATGCAACTACAGTGGGGCCTGGACTTACGAGTTTAATTTGTTCCGTGACGGAGCTCGTTAAGGAGCTCATTAACTCAAATTACTCTGTCAACTCAAAGCAAGAAATCGCAAAGAGACGGCTCGTATCTTGGAAAAACTCGTTAGTCGGGACACTCGTAAGTCAAGGCCCCACTGTATAAGCATCACTAAACATTTGAATAGGCAATTTTCCTCAATATTTAGCCGTATACTTTTCACACCACTATTTATAGCACCACTGAAAAAAAAGTTAAGCCAATATTGGTTATAAATCTAGTGGGATATTTACTTATAAAAAATTCAGTGATCTGAATCTTTCAATAGTTGAGATCTTGTTGGAGAAAGCTAGTACAGAAACCTGTGCAGAACCCAACTTGTCAGAGAAGCCATTTGCATGATGACAGATGGTTACTACATTTAGTATAGTGAACACATTATAAGATACATAAATGCCAAATCACTATGTGGTACACCTGAAACTAATATGATATTGTATGTCAACTATCCATGAAGTAATAAACATTTCATTCCCCTTAAAAGATTAAAACATAATTGATAATTTTGAATTTTAATGGTTTAAAGGTTTGTGTTTTAAAACTATTTCTAAGCACAACTAGGGATACTACATATATCAAATACTTGAAGTCTGTGCTTCAATAATTATAAACTTATCAAAATGTTTAGAATCAAGATATGGAAAGCAAATTCTGTGCAGTGATTTGGCATAATAGATTCACCATGAAATAATTTAGAATAATGAGAAGCAAACCACCTGGAGCATGAATTTGCCTTTATTTCTGTTACTACTTTAATAGCTTTGTATGTTCTAACAAAACTCACATAAGGGTCACAATCAGTTAATCATTTCCAGGAAGAAACAATATTGTTCACTCATGAATATTGCGCAAACAGATTTGAAGTTATTTTTAGGTAGAGTCTATATGCCTTGTCTGTTCAAAAAACCTAGAAATGCTGCCAAACATAAATAACTCACTTTAATATACAACATAAATTCAGCTAATGACTTCAATGTAAAACATAGCACTTAAAAAATCTATTTACTTTCATCTTTACTAATTCGCTTATAAATTCAAGCAACATGGCAGTGGGTAGACAAAGTTTATTCAGAAAATACCTGAGGGGAAAGATTAAAACATCGTAAATGGTCCAAACTTGCAACTTTGTCCGGTCTCCTTTCTTTGTATTCCCTTCACCCCACACCACTTCTTCCTCCTTATTTTAGCAAGTTATCTTCTAGTTTTTTCTTGTGTTCATATTATATTTTGCTATTACAATTAATACAATTCTACCTTTTATAAAAGTCACTGATGCTGAGATTATGTGTGAATTACTGAAAAGAATTTTTCCCCTTTTCTTCCTTGAGCTAATTTTGACCATTTATTATTATGTTCCACTAGGGGGCAGGCAGTAACAAGAAAGAGAGTTATAATCAAGACAGGACTGATAGCTTCAGCAGGTTTGCAAAAATGGAACAAGCGATTAAAAGCAATTGTGAAATCATATGGTACTTAAAAAAAAAGCAATTGTGAAAAAGAAGGGGTTTGTCCCCATTAATTTCAGTTCTATCTTCCTTTCTTGGTTTGTGATAGTTGCAAATTTACATATTTTTAGGTATGTTTTCTCTAAACATCCATGCTTAAACAATTAATAAATTAATCAAGAGCCATTGTTAAGAAGACTGAGTGTGTATGGAGGGTATGTGTTATCTGTGAATAGTGCCTAAAAGTTATTAGCAGACTAAATTAGAGAAATCAAGCTAAGATGACATTTTAAGAGAACTTTAAAAAAATCTTTATTGTTGAGAGTATTACAGATGTCCCCCTTCCCTGCTCCGCCCCTCATTGCCTCCCTCCACCTGCTTCCCGCCCTGGTCTAGGCCTCCACCACCCTATTTTCTGTGTCCATAGGTAATGCATAGATGCATATACCTTCTTTGGTTAATCTCTTCCTGTCCTCCTTTCTGCCTTCTGTGTTTATTTTTATTATTTCTTAAATTTTATTGATTTCTAGAAAGAGAAAGACAAAAGGAGAGGGAGAAATATTAATTTGTTGTTTCATTTATTTATGCATTCATTGGTTGATTCTTGTATGTGCCCTGATTGGGGCTCAAACCCACAACCTTGGCATAATGGGATGCTGTTCTAACCAATTGAGCTACCCGGGCAGGGCAAGAAATTGTCTATGAATCTAGTAAAACATGAGAGAAATTACAGTGGGATGGAGTTGTCAAAGACTTTGTGGAGGAGATGGGTCTCGAGCTGGACCTTGAATGATGGGTTTGGGTCGATGTGGAAAGGTAGAGATAGAAATAAGGAGGAGCAGATGTGCAGTATGAACAAAAAAACAAGTTGTTTTGGGAAGAGAAAGAACTCTTGCCTGATAGAATGGAGATTGTGTGTGAAATGATCAGAGACAATAAGGCTGAATTTCAGGAGTCTTTGATAACTAAACAGAGGAACTTGGATACTGTGCAGTAAGCATTGAGGAGCCATCTCTTGTTTTGTGAACAGGAAAATAATATAATAAAGCGATATTTTTAGAGAATAATGTGGCAGCCATGTCCCCTTCATTGGGAGTGGCTTTTTGTAAAAGACTAGTTTTGCAGAAGGAGTCAGGAGCTCCTACTCTTGGGTTTTTATTTTAGAAAGTCCTATGTTTCTGCTGTGAGACATTGGTGGCTGAGAAGAGAAGTTTCTTTGCAGAAGAAGATGTTAAATTCAATGCAGGGAGGGAGGAGAACTAGGAGGAAAATTCCTGTATGTACCTGGAAATATAACACAATCTAGGATTTGTCAATCATTCATGGAGTGGAGGATCTCACAAAGGGAGTCTTCATAGAGATAAAAATGGTAGAATAGGCACTACATATTTTTGTATTTGGGTCCTAGGAGCAATAATTATTTCTTTCCTCTCAATAACAGAGAGCAAGATCTGAGAAGAGAAGGCAAGGCAATTTTTAACCTTAAATAAGAAGAGGAAAACTTTTTTAAAAAAAATCCTTACTTGAGAATATTTTTCCATTGATTTTTAGAGAGAGTGGAAGAGAGAGGGAAAGACAGAGAGAAATATGGATGTGAGAGAAACACATTGACTGGTTGCCTCCTGCATACGTCCTGACCAGGGCCTGGGCTGGAATAGAACCCGGGACCCTTCAGTCCGCAGGCCAGCGCTCTATCCACTGAACAAAACCAGCTAGGGCAGACAACTCTTTTGAAATTGAGGAGTTAGATGAAAAGTTAAATATAGAGATTCTAATAAGTTGAGAATAGAAATAAGGAGATGAGACAGTTCCACAGTCTCACAGTAGATAAGTGCCTCCCAATAAATAACTCATAAGTATTTCAGTTAATGTTGCTAGTCAATAAAATAACTCAGCTGTCATTTGGTTTTATGTTTTATATAAAAAATCAGATTGCACAGTGACTAAAATTCAGTAATCATTGATACACTTTTCCTCCTTGTTTTCAGTGACACGCATTTGGTAACTTCTGATTAGGATTAGGGAGATCTGTGGTTATGAAATAGCTTTGTATGTTCTAACAAAACCCATCTAAGGGTCACAATCAGTTAACTGTTTGCAGGAAGAAACAACATTGTTCATGCATGAACATTGAGCAAAGAATTTAGAAGTTTTTTTTTAGCTAGAGTTTATATGCCTTGTCTGTTCAAAAAGCCTTGAAACAATCTAAAACAACACAATCCTATGTGTGTTCATGGAAAGCAGTATAGAAAAGTACTAGAAACTAAGCTGAAAGGTTTTAGAAGCAAATCATTTTCTTTAAAAATAGCTGCTTCTTTGAGTTGTTGATGCTGTTGCAGGATCTCTACGAATCAAACTCTGAGATAGAGTTTTGAGTAGAGAATGTTTATTAGGGAGGACAGTTGGAAGAAACACCTGGAAGGG